GTGTGTGTGTGTGTGTGTGTGTGTGTGTGTGTGTGTGTGTGTGTGATTGTGTGTTATGAGAAGTGGTCACTTGTCCTTGTTAACCTGCTGGGTCACACATAATTCCTTGAGATAACTAAGGTTATTATGGCACATAGATACATAACATGGTGACAGAGACATGCAGTGCATCAATATCACTTTCCCTCTGCTGACACAAGGAGGTCACAGTTCTCGGAACCTATCAAACCACTGTTAGACACAACAATCCTAACATGGCTGCCATCAATTATATGACTCAAGGGTTTAGCAGCATAGTGAATATAAGTGGAATTGTCTTAAAGCTGCCCTGATAGAACTCAGGGGGTGCATCTACTGCTGTGTCCTGAACATAAACACCAATACTCTTAATACTTGAGTCATATGCTTGGGCAAATTACAGCCTAGTGGGTGTTAAACTCAGATAAATAAGGGTTCAGTCCAGCAGAGGTTTATGTCTAGGTTTGTCTAGCATCATACATGGAGTGCACAATTTAAATGAATATATATTTATTCATTATCTTTTCTGGCACAATGGAACGTATCACTACAATGACATCCACGAATGTAGGACTATCTCAAGGCATTCTTAGAAGAATGCTTTCACAAAAAACTGTTTCGTGAGGTCCCAGTGAGTGACCTTGACCTTTGACAACCAAATTCTATTCAGTTCATCGGATGGTCCAAGTGAATGTTTGTACCAAATTTGAAAGGATTACCCAAAGAGATATTGTGTCCACCTTCACCTTTGACCTCCAAAATATAAACAGTTCCTCTGTGACCGATTCTGTACTTGCTACCAAATTGGAAAATATCAACTCAAAGAGTCCACAGTGTGGAGGCATAATTAAATTAAATACTTTGAATTATAGATTTGGGACAAAGGCAGGATAACCTACTATTAAAGTGTTATGTGACCGTAACACAGTTCAGAAGCTTCTCTGCTATGTTCTTTAGGACCAGAAGAAATAAAGCTGAGCAACAACACTAATAGCGCACCTGGTGGTCAGACAGAGGATTTGAAAAAGTTGTGCCGTGCCTGCATGTCATGATGTAGCCTATTCTCAGGCAACTGTGAACTACATCACATATATATGGTGTGTTAAGGTTTAGTGCAATGATTAGCTTTTGGTGATGTATGAAGAAGTTCTCCCCAATTTCCCTTTTGGGACACAGCAACAACATTTGTAACTTTTGTAGAAACAGATGTGGACTGTGGGTCAAACAGTCAATGATGTCATGGATGTCCTTACCAAGTTCATTGAGGCTCTGAGCGGCCTTGGTGATCTCTCTACTGCCTCCCTGGAGCTGACCCTGGAGCCTCTTGCTCAGGTACAAGATCCGAATAATCCTCCGTAGAAGGTCACAGGCCACCTGGGGAAGGAGGAGAGAAAGGATTTCAGGAGGTGTGGGAAGTATCCAGGTTCAAAATACCACTTACACTGAGTGGTTCATCTCTAGAGTCGTATTATCCAACAAATTCAAAGATTGACTTTCTCTAAACTAGATCGCTGACTAACCTTCAGCTTCCAAAAACCTCATCATCAAAGAGATAGTTAGTTCTAACCTGCTGAACAAACTCTGGTAAATATTTCTATTAAAACCATATATTTTTTTACTTTTTCTGTACTTTTGAGTGGAGCTCTTTATTATAAACCAG